TAAGCCCCGGTTTCCTCGAAATGTTTTTCCATCACCTTTTGTCAATGGTATCTAAATAATCTTAGAAAGTACATATAACTCGGAAAAAGTCACATTGGTACTTGCCGTTGGTAGGTTTCGAACATCCGGGCCACCACGACACGATTATCGATACATTTAGACCGTAACATAACATCACGCCTTTTATCCCCGAAGGGATAGGCACAGGTGCACATTATACCACTGTACAATGTAACACCCACTTTTCACTATTTATGTTATGAGTCCCATGTAATAAGTGGTGAGCATATTGCCATATGCTCGACCGTAACATACAATAATAATAACTTATCCATTTGCAAAAACAAAGAAACAAATCGTAAATCTCACAATAACGATCATTTATACAAGCCACAATTAATACCAACATTAACAAACACCCTAAATTGAAACAGCAATTTCGGCAGCCATCTTTAAACAAAGACACGACGACCATACATCTTAATCCACTTAAATTCCCATTGAATCGCATGCATTCCCGAATTATGGCGAATCACGACATCTAGTGAGAAATGAGGCGAAACAGTAATCGAGTTAAGAACCCTTGGCAAGAGAAATAGTTTCGTGGTGCTACTCTAGAAGCTGAATTGAAAAGTGATGTATTTTTATGCGACTACCGAGTGGTTGCAAGTGCGACTGCCGGGTAAGGGGCCTCGGGTTCGATTTCTTTGGTATATGGTATAGTTCTGGTATATGGCAATAGGCTCACCCCCTATTACATGGGACTCATAACATAAATAGTAAAAAGTGGGTGTTACATTGTACAGTGGTATTAAGTACAGTGGTATTAAGTACCTTCGAAGATAAAAGGCGCCATGTTATGAAATGATGAAAGTATTTTCTTTTATTTGTGTGAGGTAGGCAATTTTCGACATTGATGGGTGTTAATTTTGAGTTCAGTTTTGAAGGGGTAATTAATATTACGAATAACATTCAAATAAAGAGTTTTTAGTGATTGAAGTGCAATTATGACTAGGTTTTATTAAATAAATATTGCCGGTTGTGTGTTATTGTGCCCAATGTTATCATGCAAACTCAAACTTCTTTCGTCCTGACGAAAGACATGAGATATCTCCTTTGTACATTTTAGTTTTTCACCAGTTTTATATAGGTACCTAATTACCTAGCAATTAATTACGAACAGCTTCAAGCTTTCTAAGCCAGTTCCCCTATTAAACCAACACCGACTGCAAAATGCTGAAATAAGTAATTTAAACAGCCACGAACGCCAAAAGAATGCAAGTACTTTACCACCTTTAGCATAATTTTAATGAAACAGCTCATTTTACCCCTGGTTACGTGTGCACAAAAGCGCGCCAAAAACACAGAATGTCAGTGCATCGCGTTCCCAGTACTTTATAGTGCGTCGTAAATGTGCGAGTCGCCGCGTTCCAGCTCCATACTTGACAAACATGCCATGAGATTTATGATAGGGTTGTCGCTAGCATAGGTTGGTTGAAAAAAGATGGCCGAACATTATTGTGTTCTTTTTTTAATCTTTTAATGATTGTTTTTAAGGTTGTTATTACTATTTTATGGTACGTGAATGAAATTTTGATGGCAGTTTTTACTTTTTTTATATGTCTGAGAAGCGTATCGAGCGCTAAATGAATGTGTGTGTAATATTGGTAAGTGTGGTTACCTCGTAATTAAAATTTTTAATTTCGATTAGCTAATTAAAAAGTAAACGTGTTTTGCAGCACGATGTACCTACCTAATAATAACATACAATAAAAAAGTTCTTCCAAAAATAATGAAGAAATTATTATGTACAATTTTTCATGTTTACAAATATAAAAGTCATAATTTTGGTGTTAATTCTTTAATCATACTTATTTAACCTTAGTATACAAAGGTTTGTAACAAATATTATGAAACACTATACACAGCCCAATAATTTACTTAGTTAATCCCGACACTAAACAATTTTCCAAATAATTTCAGAGCAAAAACTTTTCGGCGACGACACGAAAATACCAATTGATTCGCGTGAGTTATCGCCAACCCTGATTTATGACGTTCAGGAGCAACCCTGCGCCCGGCTCGCACACTTTTGATATATGTGTTTTTAGGGTTGCTACTCAGAAATAGTTTTAGTGCACAATTTATTTATTTTATAGGTGCTAAGAGACATTTACGGACATCCCACGGACAATAGTTGTCCTGATACTAAAACTATGGAGTCGGAGTCATTTTGTATGGGATTTAATGGGTTAATGTGAGTAAAGATGATTTGCAATGGATACTATGTTTGGTTTAACACTGTTGCTAGGAAACAAGACTAATGCAAAAACTTAAATGTGTCATACGCGAGTTGATGACGTACCACAAATAAATGTGTATTGGTGTTTCCATCTGAACAAGTCTAGACATAATTTAAATTCCACATTATTAACTACGCCCTTTAAAATGACTAATAAGTAGAATCAACCACATTGACGAATTAAACAAACTAAAAAAGACACAATCAAAAATCTCGTACAAAATTAAAAATCGTGGGTTACTCGTGTGAATATATGGAGAAAAGCTCTACTAGTTTCGAACCATATAGAGATTCTTCCTCATGAGCAGCGTGCGCGGTGACGCCGCGCAGCTCACCACGTGAGTCACCCGCGACTTTAGTTAATTTATTATATCTCACGATAGGATAGTTATTACAAAAACATCTCGTACAAAATTATTCACATTGTCGTCACGTAAGTACATTACATGATAGGTTAGCCTTCAATGTATTATTTATGGGTTCGACCCAATTACAGGTTATCGGGTAATAAATAAGCATCCCTTCGTATGTGACAAGTGCACACAATGTGTGTGAGCAAACAGAATGTGTTTGTGACATGTCGGTTATTGATTGTAACGTAACAATATGTGGTACCCACTGTCTTGTTATGGGTAATTATAAAGGTTGGTAAATATTATGTTTAGTATATTAACTGGATATGTAGCTGGCTAATTAGAACGCCTGTTGTGACGTAAAGTAAGTCTAAACTCCCAGTTAGGTACCGATTCACTTTTCTCTCAGTTTCGGAGAAATCCAATAATGCCTTTTACAAGCAGTAGGTAAATTATTATTGTCATAATACATTTTTATTTAAAAATTAGACAATATTTAAAAATAAAAAATTTAAATCAAAACCAATTAATCAAACTAAATAAAGCTTAATCAATTATTTATTTCAAAACCAAATCCTAAACAAAGCAGCTTCCAAAAACATTAGCACACCGAATTTGTATAGGCCAAGAGACAGCGTATTAACACGCCTTCTTTATCCAATCCCTTAAATAAAGGGGGAAATGATTAACGGTCCCTCATGACAGTTGGCTCTTTGACTCAACACTTTGATGCAACTTGATACTATTGGTGGGAATACAAAGAGTTGCGACTTAGAGAAACCTTTGACAAGACAGTTAATGGTCGCCTTCCTAACTGTTGGCTTCGAATTTCGAAGTACTAAGGATTACGTTGTTAGTGATACTCCAGTTCTGTTCCTTGAGTTCTTTAGCATTTCAATGGAATATAGACTATCGTTAAGTAAATGGATACTAAGTTTGAAATTGTGACAAATTATTTTAGTTCATGCTTTTTACGCTTACATTTACTATGCCTTGACGAGGTCGTAGAAATGCTGAAGTGTGCAGGTACACCTTTTACTAATTATGAATACTACACAACTACCATTCATGTCATTACTGATCATCCTGGGGCTCACTATTGCAAAAGTTGCATTGATTTTATACTCGTAATTGCTACACATTTGTCAAAATCAAACAAATAAAGCTTGTCAGAATCTGCAATTATGACACCACTTGATTTTTTTAAAATAACGATGCCCCACACTACTATTGGATACGATTCACATATACATGACATCCAGACCCGAGACAACCTTGAAATTCATCCCCTAAATTTGTTCATACAAAAGTAGTCTCTAAACGTTGAAAATAAGGTCTATATAGTGGAGAGTGGTCACTGGTGACCTCTTGGGGTTTATTTGCCCAGCCACCGCACCAACCGTGCAGTCTACTTGTCTAATTCAAAATCCGAACTCAAGATATCGGCATAGATGACATCGACAGAACGGACGACCTGATACACTAGGTACATACATACATCAGCTGAAACCAACCAGGTAGAAACCTCTTTTATAGTAAGACCGACAGACTCCTACTACCTATCTATCACTATATATCAAATCAAAATCATGCGTAACATCTAAGTATAAGTACATGTTGTGTATGGCCGTCATAGACACATATAAATCATGCACGCAACATAATACGGTGCGGACGTGATATACAACCAACATATAGGTACATATATACAGTACGATGAGACGCCCCACTGAGCCACGCGGGCGGTGCTCTGACTCAACGGCGAAATTATTTCTAATTACAACTTAGTATTTCATTATTTTATGGGCGGTTAGTGCTTCTATTTTTTTTTTGCGACAATGTTTATGGATAACTTTCAGGCAAAACTTTGTGCGTAGAGGATATTAATAATGATTTTATTGATCTTAGTTACAAACTCGAAAAGTATGTGAAGAGGAAAACAAAACAATAACTTCATAATTATAACATTTATTATAAGACATGTTATTATTTTGAATATAATTACAATGCAAAAATGACTTTTTTGCCTTATTGGCCGAGTGGTCGCAAGTGGGACTGCCGGGCAAGGGGTCTCGGGTTCGATTCCAGTGTCGGGCATAGTAATACTGGGTTTAAAAAAAATTCTCAGTAGTAGCACGGAGTCTGGAACTGTGTCTGGTATATGGCAATAGGCTCACCCACTATTACACGGGACTTACAACATAAATAGTGAAAAGTAGGTGTTACATTGTACAGTGGCATATGCGCACCTCTGCCTACCCCTTCGGGGATAAAACGCGTGATGTTATGTTATGTTATGCAAAAATAACATCTAAAAGTATCTACTTATAACAATCTCACATTAATTACTCTTCCGCTACCGATGCAGACTCAGTCACTTGGACACGCCCCCTTTTAGAGTTGTACAGCGGATTCCTGAACGCAGTATTACTTCTAGAAGCGGCACTGATGACACTGTCTCTTCTCGTCAAACTCACCACACTGTCGGACCTCCTCTCGAACCTTGAGAATATACCAGCAGGCATATGTCTCGACACTACCGGGATCCGTAACTCCGGGATCTTATAATAGTACACGTACAAAGCTCCCAATGTTAAAATCACAGCGAAAAACATGGACACAAAGATTTTCCCGCCCAAACCCGCCTTATACAAAGGACTGCCGCTTATCTGAGCAACCTTGTGCCCTTTCACCCAATGATCGTGGAGAGCATAGCTAATAGAATTGATGATTTCCGCACTAGACCCTTCGTATTCACCTTTGTCGACTACCACGAGTTGAATTCTTCTAAAAGGAATTTCCGGCGTAAAACCGATGTAATATTCGATATCGTTCTTTCCGCTCTCACCGGCAATGCCTTCAACGAGCTCGCCAAACGTTTTCATGTCGAATCTTTCGTCCGCATCGAACAATAAGTAGCCGCCACAGATATCGCAACAAAACCCGAGAGGTTTGATTGGTTCCACACATTCTGGTTTTGGGCAAAACTTAGCAGAGCAATCTATTTTCAAAGGAATATTTTGGCACGCACATCCGAACTGCGAACAACGCATGGAATGGCCGATCGTCACACCAATCACTGAATAGTCATTTACAACAAACTGTTGTGTGTCCTCTCGCATATGGAAAGTTATATGGTCTCTAAAATCTGCAGTATTAGTAAAACTGTCGTTCCCAATTCTAATTTCTTTGACATACTGCGTTAATGGTGGTAAAGTCACTGTTGTCTTTGTATCCTTTGGAAATACCACTATATCGTTAAAGCACGGTATTCTATCCGAGTCAGGAGTTGCTTTGTTGAACTTAGGCGAGCTCCAAACATCTGCTTGGTTCCACGAAGACCCTGTTTTATCTATGTAGTAGGCGTTCCCTTCAGTGCAGTTAGTATCTGCAGGATCTGCGCCAAAAGATAACAAGCCCTCTAAAATCAGTTCGCCGTCTTCTGGTAAGATGAATCCTCCAACTTTAGTCTCGGATGCAATTTCTACGGAGCCGACAATCGTCTGTGGGAACACAACTGTTTGTTTAGAACAAGGAAGTTTCCGATCTTTGAAACTGTCCGGTAACTTGAAGCTTGAGTTTGGGAGCCACGTGACGGTGGTGGCTGATATTAAACTTGTGCCGAAAATAACGAGACAATGAAGAGCCACAATCGGTGACATGTTGGGACCGGCGTATGTTAATGAATGCCAATTTTGTTCGTCCAGAGTGTAATGTGACACTAAATGATGTCTGCTCGTTTATTATGTCTGTTCTGTTTGATGTTCGTGACACATGCAATCACAAATCAACGTTATTTGAGTGTAGATTTACACTTTGAATCATGTTAATCAGTTGAACGCATTGTTGGGTTAATTACTGGCATGATTAGTGCCGTGTGTCCGCGTTGTCACTGTGGGCGTGTTTTATTTAATTGAAACTTGGGAATTTCATGACCGTCCTAAATAAAGTGTCGTTACGTTCTGTTGGTTATTTTAAAGCTGTAATAAAAGCGATTTGATTTCTTCATTTTCCGAACGGGATTGCCGGATTGTAAAGATTCTAAAATTCGACTAAAAAAAAGTATGGTTACGATGTTACGCTTTTATTACATTTCTCGCCGTAAAGAATTCTTATAACAGAAGCGAAAACAATCCATCACTTTGTGCAAAAGAATCTCATTTAAATAACCTTACGAACAAACAGTAATGTATTGCCTACTGCGCACAAAACCGCGACGAATTAGCTACGTTAATATCATAATATTTTCTGGAAAAAGAATACGTATAAACAAAAGATTAGGGGTAATCCTACCGCGTCGAGAAACCCAAGACCCGGGGATTACTGCCATCTTGGAGGAGCAATAAAAGTCATCGCCAGCCACGCACGACTATTACACTTGATACCTTATGATTTATGGCTAGATAACACTGGTAGGTGGTTAAATACAAACCATTAATGACTTTTGGAGGGGTTGGAAATTTAATAAGACGCTGCTCCCGTGCCAAGGAGCGTAGTTATGCAAATTTTATAGCAGGAAAAGCATCAGGTGGAATGTACGGGACTGTGTTCTCACTTCAACAGTAGCGGGAGGAAATGTACCGTCTGGTTATGTTTCATTATAAGGCAATTCAATAGTTTCCCTTAAGTAACGTTTTGCATCTCTTTGTGTACACACAATGCCATCTTTATGAAACTAAAACAATTATACTGAGAAATAATGGTCTAGATGTTACAAATTTGAGCAATTTTAACTGTTAATCATGGAAGAACTTCTCTAGCATTACCGTTAAAAAATATAAATTTCTACAAACTGCTGTATTTGCCAAAATTCAAAAATTAGTCTTTATTTTCTCACAAGAACTTTCAATAGAAAATCGTCTCTTCATTTTAACAGTCCTACCAGCGTGTCAGCACAAAATACCGCCCCGTAAATTCCCCCAGTACTTTAGACATCGTAACAAGCCGCCGAAACGCACAATATGCTAGATGGGTAGATAACAGGGACCTCTAAGTGTTTGGGTTTTACCGCTCATCCTATAAAACCGCTACTGGCATTCAGAACGTTTACTAAGGGCGGTATAAAACCTTATTGAAGACTTGAAACGTGTTCAGCTTCCATATTTGAAACCGTAAAGTTTTTTTTTTCTTTTTTTTGTTAAGTTGTCGGGACGATGCGTGAAGGTCAAGGCTTTGAAGGTTTGTATCCTTTTTTGTCTTGATTTGCGGCTGAATTAGGATTTATGTTGACTGTTTAGGCTACAACTGGGTACGTTTTGGTAATTGAGAGTGAAGCTTAGGAAATTCTTTCTTTTTAGTGAGTAGAGTACTATTTGTATCTAAGATCTTAAGGTTCTCTGTCTAAAAAGTCCGAAAATAGTGTTCGGGTACCCACAACCTACATAGCATTCCATGTCATTTATATCCTTGACAGTGTTGTAAAAATTTATCTACTAACAAATTCAAAACAAAAGCATTTTCCCTGACATCAGTGATATTTTCTCATTTTATACATATTTTACCGTAAATTCAAATAGCAAAAGGCAGGTTTATTGTTACAAAACTCAGCTGGCTACCCCATTTTAATACAACATTAACCTTGAACGAATTACATAAAAGGAACATTAATAAACCCTTTAGTAACAAGCTTAATTTAAATTGAATTGATAGTACCCACGAGTACGATAACAGCCCTTCATAACAAATCTAAATACCTAACCTTTAAACTGAAGCCACTGAATATTCACTCCTATAACTAGAGAGATAAAAGTTATAGTTGCTTATCATTTTTATATTCAACCACTGATGTTAAGACAGCACATGGAACTACCCTAAAACTATAAAATATATTCATTAGATAATCGACTTTACAGCAAAAAGATAAAATCCTGAATCTTTTGGCAGCTTACGATACGTGTAACTTCAACCAAAAAGTCCGTTACTCAAAACATGTTTGAATTCTCTATTTGAATTTTGAACAGAGAACAATGTGGAGGCTTTCGAAATGAACAATTAGGACGTCACAGAGCAGAAAGATCTCAAAGTTTGGTGCAAACTGTCGGTCTGTTTTTCTTCCATTTTGACCCGCATGTGTCGACACAAAATTTACAATTGGAACTGTTGAAACGAAGGCATTCATTTCAGCAGAGCCATAATACCCGTATTTTGTTGAGGCTATTCTGCCGTTGTCACACGGTACCATGAGTTATATTTACTGGTAGATATCGGAAAACACTCAACAAATTACGACATGATTTGGTACATATTTATGCATACATTCCATAGCTGGTAAATTGGAAGACCAATAAGCTAAGAAAGGACCAACTGAAGAGTCTTAAAACGGACAGCTAAAGAAATAAAAATACCCAGATCTTTATAATTTTGTCATTCAAAGAAAATCCAACTTCAGATTTTTAAAGAAACCTTATTAGTACATACATAATTAGGTTGATCATTGACCTACATTACATATATATCTTTTCAATGAAATATAAGATTTCCAATCATAAATTGGACCTCTTGACTTTATTCTCAAAGGTCCGTATATCCGTCTTAAAGGTCCAAGCTTGTCCATTGGTTGGCAATTAGTAGTCACTCACAAAAGCTTCACGTGATCATAAAATTATACTCTTGTCGTAATTTATTCGTCTGATGAATGCATGCTATAAAACCTATTCAATCACTCTATAAACTTGCTAAAAGGCTCCATTTTGAGCATAGAGTAATGAGTTAATGGAGGATTAATGCAAATGCTTGGTTCTCTAAAGAAGTATTTTAAAATAATGGCGATATTAAAATCATGTCTTCAAAAGAATAATTTCTCATTACTAAAGATTTTGAATCAAACGTTATTTTCGACAATGAATTGAATACCTAATTGAAATATTTAGATACGATGATTTGACTTGCATTTCAGATTATTGTGGAATTATCTTTCGCAGTGATATGTATGTGCTTAACGCATAGATAACATAATATTTATTACATCTATGCATGTTACTGTCAAAGCTATTGAAGACTCAAAAAAAGTGTCATTAACTGTGCTTCAAAGCCACAAATAATTATTATTATGTTTTCGGCTTACTTACGTAATTACTTGACGAGTACGCTGTAGCTACGCAGTAGCAGCGCGATAGTCGCCGCGTCGCAGGTCGCGAAATGCTGCTCATGGATATGAGCCTCTAGCATGACTTGAAACTAGTCGAGATCCTCGTTAAATAATTACGTGAGTAAGCCGAAAACATAATAATTTATTTAGTATGTCTCACGAAAGTTATAATACAAATACAAATAATTATTTTTACCTACTTAAATTGTACATAACATCATGGTATATGGTCAGCCACAACATGAGCCCTCCATTATAACCATACTCCACGCCAAAGAAAGAGAGTAATAAAATAATCTCTTCACCGTTGATTTCTTAAGGCAATGTTTATGGTATAATTGCCTATTAGACACATATTTAGTTTATTGCCATGCTATCGACTTCACTGGCATTTTATTATAGCCCTTATGTACCATATAGCATAACTGTAATAAACAGTAGTAGCTTTCAATATAATCGAATTAATGTGTAGATAAAGTTACTAATTATTTTTAATAGTACTTTTTTATAACTGTCCCATTAGTTGAACTTGGATGTATGGGTACATTTCCTTTCTGACATCCATAAGAAGATTGATAACACACTTGTATTATTACCTCCAAAGTTCCATGGGCGGAGCTGATTGCTTACCATCAGGTGATTCGTTTGCTCCTTTTCCTTCTACATCATAAAAAACTTCTAATCTAAATATTTTTTTCATAAACTACATTAAAAAAACCGACTTCAACCCTCAATTTTTTGAAGTCGGTTAATTAATATACCAAAACCTTCTCCTAAGTGTAACAAACACTTTTCTGAAACCGGTATCGAAATCGCTTCAGCCAATCGCGAGATAAACGCGCATAAACATATACCTATACATACATAAGGTTGAACTGAGAACCTCCTTTCATTAAAGTCGACTAAAAACAATGATTTGTAGTAAAATGGCACTGACTAGGAAATGAGTACCATAACAATATATAACAAGAGTTCCTGTATAAGAATCAATAATAGTAGCATCAAAATACTCACCATTTTACGTTAAAATAAATAAAATAAACAACTACCAACCTTATAAGATTTAATTTACAATTTATTTTGCTGTATCCTGTAATAATTCCGAGGCTCTCACCTTTATCATTCTACAATCAGTCAGGCGACAATTCACGATGCCATCAACACTGGCACCCGAGTGGTCCATCAACAAAAGAATCAATTTATCACGACAACACTGAAAGGTCAGCCAATCGGGGCCCCCGGGGACAGGTGCCTATCGATTGGGTCCCCGTCTTACAAGGAATTAAAAAGTTAATCTTTATTGAGTCGAACTGAAAGTATGGGATAGAAAATAAGCTGGAAGATGGTTTTTGTGAAGGGTATCTTGTAAGGAGTATAATATTATATCGTCAATTTATACTATTTTATATGTATATGTAGAGTACATTGTACTATTTTCTTTTTTTATGAGATAAGTCGGGAAACGAGCATACGGATCACCTGATGGTAAGCAATCGGCGTCGCTCATAGACACCTGGAACACCAGAGATATTACAAGTGCGTTACCGGCCTTTTGGGGATTAGGAATTTGAGGAT